GATGGAGAAGGACAATAATTTTCCATTTTTGGATGTTTTCGTGATGAGAGCAGATGAGAAATTAAGCATGGGTGTATCGAGAAAGCCAACACATGCTGGTTTTATACTTATTTTTTTCTCTGATCGAAGCTTGCAGTTGTAACATGTATGATCATTCGAAACATAACACTAGCCGATAGAGACCATTGTGATAAAAATAATATTTTTTGAGAATAATTATTCCTTAGGTTTCATTGAAAATAACATTAAATTAATAAATAATAGCTTTTCGAATGGCGAATATGTAAGGAGTAATAAGGAGACCGTTTCTCATGTTTTTTCTTTACTTTTATTTATTCTCTCAAAAGGAGAGATGAACAAGTAGGAAGTGTGGAATCAAAACGGTCTGCATGGAAAGTACGACACTTTCTTCAGTCATGCCCACTTTTAGAGCGAAAGTTGACCCATTCTCCAGATTGGGTTGCTGCAAAATAATTTGTTTATGTTGGAGAGACTTGTCGTCCCTTTCGACAAAGCGCCTGCAAAGGACGTTGGGTTCATAAATTGGAACTGGCTGAGCCCGGACCAGAAACGGGACACGAGAGTGAATGATCTCAAACGTGTCGTCTTGCTGTTTGTGGCATGTTTTCGGCTAAATGTAAAATTAGAGAGGACATCGAAATGAAACCGAATAGGAAAAACCAGTAAATCAGTAGTATGCGATGTATGAGATGGAAATTGTGGGGAAATTGTACTATCAGCCCTTCATCACCTTCAACGAAATTGAGTGAATAAATCTCATACTACTGATATACTGATAGTCTCAGTTAATCGGAAGAGAGCAGAAGCAGCTGTACCATGATCATCAAGAGCTAGTGACCTTTTTTTTTATTGCTTTGCGAACTTAATTGCAGAAAGTGTGACTTTGCTTAAAGCTCAAATCGGGGATATTAATGGAGTTTTTCATCGCCTCTCTGTACTGAGTCTGCAAATTGGGCAAAAATAGTTGCTCAAGTGGATTCACCTCGTTGTCGCAACTTGATCTTGTTGTCATGGCGACTTAGTAGAAGGCCTGACGACAAGACCAAGTTGCGACGACGAGGTCAACCCACTTCTATACATCGAACGGCGACTGCGGCCATACCAAATGGCACAACATCTTGGCGTTCATATCTTCAAGTAAATAGTTGCTGCCCGACTAGCTACCTTCATTTTATACGTTGGCCAACCTCTACTTTTGCACTTTGTTCGAACCCTTTTCCGAGCATTCCTCAACTCGTGCCATCATCAAAACAGACAAATCTTTCGTCTGTCATGCCACACATCGTCGGAATAGTATGCCATTCTTACAACTGATTCCATGTTGAATATGTGAATAATTGTGAATGATTGAATGATTTTGTTCTGTTCTGTCTCATTTCAATCTGGCAACATGTGCACACGCACGATGCTGTATGAATTTGTGTCATCATGTGCGCGTAAGGGCAGGTGAACGCCAACTTGGGACATCAAGTCCTTCCTTTCAATCGTGAACCAAGAAGTTCCGCCAACACAATTCTTCATCAACAAATCCGTGTTGGTCGAGCCTAGCTGGCGATTAGAGCCATTTTCCCATGACCAGATTGTTGTATGACTTGTTGGAACCTTCTGGCAGACGACATTTTTGAGACGGCCTCCTTCGGTTTGGTGAACAGTTCTTGTATTTCCTACTTTCCCGCCAATCGACAAGCTCCACCAGAGCAGGCTGCAAGTCAGACAAGCAATTCTAGCTTGGCACATGATACGACACTCTCTTGCTTCCAGCAACGACATTTACTCTTCAGCTCATTTTAACACCAACACATGCCTCGATCAATCGCTTTTACAAGGCCCCGATGCTAGCATGCATATATATATATATATTTATATTTATATTTATAT